GTAGAGATGGGGAAGGATGTAGCGTTGGCATCTCCCGTGGTTTATTTACTTTTTACTTTTCCCTTTGGTGTGTGTTGGGTGCCTGTTTCGAGGGTTTGGTTGGGCACAACAGCGTATTGCTGGCTTAGCATATTCTGCTTTCTTTTCATTTTAGTCTCTCTTTAGGGAAGAAGGGCAGTGCGGATGTTGATTTGCCATGTTACTGTATTGGTTCAACGGACATGTGTAAGTGTAGGTGACGGGGAGGCCAGAAGAAGAAGAAAGAAAAAAGTAACCGGGAAAGAGAAAGCAAAGGCTGCATTCGTCAGGTGGTACTCCTAGTGGAACCAGACAAAACGCACACATGGCCATGGCGATGTTGGTATATTGCAAGACAAGCTCCTCCTCATCTCCGATCTTTCCTACGATTACACGATATACGTATATACACCATCACCATCTTACTTCCGCGTCCGAACAAAAAAAAAACAAAACAAAAAGTCCTCTAGCTCACGCTTTTGGGTATTGGAGTCCGACCAGTTACGCCTTCATTACGCGCCTTCTGCCCTACCACCCCTTTGCAGAAGATCGTCAGATACCAAAAGCTTACTCTGGCGTACGAGTCATTCGGGCTGAGACTTTGGGCCCCCGCGCACACATTGACAGCGATCGATCATGATCAGAGATCGGGCACCCACGTTTGTCATGGTTGGAGCTTTGCTGACTATTCTACCCATCGGTCTCAGCATACTTGCGGTATGTCTACACAAAAGGTGGAGGGTGAGGCAGAGGAGAAAGAGAGATGCGCTGGCTGCTAGTGGAGAGGGACTGGGGAGTGGAGACGCGGGGAAAGAAACGGCGGAAGGGGACAGGGTACAAGGCGGTGCGGCTGTGATGGAGAAGGGACAGCGTTTTGAGGGGGAGCAACGAAGTAGTAGCCGCGATCTGGTCCATGAATCGAGTACGGAGATTAAATAGAGTTTTCTAGGGGGAGCTTTGTTAAGCGGAGGGCGAAACAGGCCGATGAAACGGCTTGCTTGAGTGATTACAATTAGATCTGGATCGAACGTTGTTTTCCTGCTTTATCTTCCTGTCTGTGCCTTGTTGCTGTTGTTGCCTGCAGAATTGGGCATCGTCGTCGGCCTTCTCATGATGCCTGACCGATACCGATAATACCTGGGCTATATGCGTGTAGTCGCCGTATTGACCTTTCATCACAATCAAACAATGCATCGGATGCGACACTGCCTTCCTACCCGGCAATCTCCGCCTTTTTTCTTGGACCGATACGCGTATGACGAGGCAAGGGGTTTTGATCGTAAGTACAATGGCATTACACGCATGGAAAGGATAGCCTGCAATGATTTTCGGCTGCTCCCGGTCCTAGGAGGCAATGGCATGGTATGTGCTTTTAATCCTCCGGTCGGCAGTTTGCTTGGCAGACGTGGTTGATTATGGAGCACATTTTTATGAAGACGGATATGAGCAGAAGGAACGGGTATCTACGGCCAAGAGGGGCGCCAGGGGTCTTGAAAAAACCAATATTTGGCGGGGTCGTCGGTGGTAGGCGTGAAAACACGAGTTCAGGGGTGACGCGTGCTTGGATGATGGCAAATGAAGAGTCGAGCAGTGCAATGTCCGCTGAGGCGCGGGGTGGCGTAACAGGAGACGAGGGAGAGGTCAATTAGGCGTGTTTGAGTGCATTTTCACAATGTGCGACGGGGTCAGGCCCCAGAGGCAGACGTTGGCGGGGAGCAGGCGAGGACATAGGAGAAGGAGGGGTCGGGAGAGGAGGAGGTAAGGTTCGCCAATCTCCCAAAGCGGCCTAGCGCGTGGCCTCTGCCATCGCACCCTTGAGGCGACGGTGAAGACACCCTGAAGGCTGAGAGGACCGTGGGCGCGTCTTATTCGCCTCGGGGCGCCCATGTGTAATTTAACATCGGACGCCGTCTCCTCTCCCCTCTGGACCCAAGCCTTGACTCTTGCAGCCTCTTCCCAGCGAGGGCATTCTTTGCCATCCACGTAGTCGGCGGCGGCGCGTGTCCGAGTACTTGTACAGCAGCACCAGCACCAGCGCAGCAACGCGCCCCGGACCCTTTGCATGCCGATCATGCACTGATCGCCCTCACCTGCAGTTGGTTCCATGTGAAAAGCCGTGCCCGTTGTGTGGTCTTTTCTACTCTAGACTGAACTTGTCTTGACAAAACCATAGCTGTCTGGGTCCGATCCAGTGTCATCTGCACGCGGCCGCTATGGACGCACACGACGCGCTGCGCTTGCCCGCCGCCAATGAAGCAGCGAACCAGACTTTAAGGTCGCGACGGCGCAACTCCCTTCCGTTGTCCATCAAGACATCTGACCCCCGCCCTGCACAGCGCTCCTCGCACTACATTCGCAACGCTGCCACCTCGCCCCAGATCATCTCCTCGCTCATCGACCAGCTGTCCGCTATTTCCATCCCCGCAAACAACCACTTCGAGAACCTGCTCGTGGGCTACGACAGCGCCCCGGCCCCCTCTGCTGCCCCTAGCCTGCGCGCCCACTCGCACTCGGACAAGACCTCCATCGCCACAGGATACGATGGCGCCTCGGCCGACCACGCCTCCTACCACGACTCACTAAGAAACCAGAACCACATCGACCCAGACGACGCATGCGAGCCCCCCGTCGTCCGCACCTCCAAGCCCCCCTCGGGCAAGTCGCCCCTGACCGCGCCCAAGAAGGCCAGCAAGCCGCACTCGCTCAGCAACTACATCGCCCGGAGCGGGAGCAGCTCTTGCTCGCTCCAGTCCATACACTCGAACCGCTCCGCAAGCAGTTTTGGCAACATCAGCATTGAGGCAGGGCCAACGCGCCAGGTCTCCATCGGCAGCAACAGATCCTCGGTCGAGAGCAAGCGCAGCGTCAAGGCTCACAAGAGCTTGATGTACATGAGCTCTCGCGAGCGACTGCGGCAAAAGGAAACCGAACGAAAACGCGCAACTGTGCACGGCTTTGACGACATCTCCACTACCGACTCCCCAAGGAAGAACACAACCCATCTTTTCCCCTACGAAGATACGATCAAGGAAGAGCCATTATCCGTCAAAGACGATCTCGACCTCGACGACCTTGACGACGATCCCTCTCGCTTTGTCCCGCGATACCCGAGCACGCGCCGAGTCCGCTTGAACCTAGTAGATGGTCCATACGGCGAGAGCCCAGCGGAGAAAGGCCTGATCCCCGAACGTGGTTCATCCTTGAGGCATACAGCTAGTAGTCCGACGCGCAAATCCAGGAAGCATCGCTCCGAAGAAAAGAGCCGACACAAGTCCAGCAGTAAAGCCGAGCACGCGGCCGAGTCAGCCAAGAAAATGGCATCAGAAGAGAAATTGGATCCAGAGGCGCAGAAACAGAAAAAGATTCTGGACGAGCTGGAACAAGAAGAAAATGATGTTGCTCGAAGGATTCGACAGCTGCGAGAGCGCAAAATGGAGAGGGAGAAATTGGCCGGAGTTTTGCCGTCAGAGATAGATGCAGGGGCAACACCATCCAGGTTGCCTTGTGTTTCATCTACTCCAAGTCCTCTGTGCTCCCCCACTACAACTGTGTCAAGTGTGTCAGATGATGCAAGGAGAATTAGTGACTCCACAAAGGCACACAAGGTCCTCGGTATCTTACAGGATCCAGCAGATAGGCTTATTGACAGAGAATATGCGGATAGGCACGATCCTTCAGCGCCGAATCGAGCACGAAGCATGCGGCCTAGACCCCGGAGTCTAACGCTAAATGATAGCGATGGTGTGAAACAGCTCCCCATCGACTACACGCTTGCCCTTGAAAGCCTCAGTCAACTCTCCCCAATGTTTGCTCCAAACACACGGCCATCAAAACCGCCTGCTCCCCCGAGTATCGCTTCCAGATCCACAATGACAACCTCCGACTCTTCTGTGCTCAGGCGATCCAACTCGCTCGTCGTCGGAGGGAGGTCCGCAGTCGGGCGGCGAGCGGCAACCGCGTCCATCCTTGTCACCAAACCTTCCGGACACAAGCACTCTTCCAGTGTCACTGATGAATCTAGCACCAGACTGGCTTTGCCTTCACGGGCGGCCAGCGAAGAGCCCATCACCCGCCACCGCTCAATGCTTATATCGCCCATGCCGGATTCCCATAGCGCACAGCTCCATCGCAAGCGCACGGGCGCCAAGAAGAGGTGGTCTCACCCCGACTTACCAGCCAAAGCAGAGAAGGCGCATAACGACAGAATAGAACGAAAAGAAGAGATTGCTCGAGCGGCGGCTGTGCAAACTCCACCACAGCCGATAATTGAAGAGCGACCTGCGAGCCGCGACTCCATTGATTTGGATGTGAATCAATACCTGGATTCGGAGCGCTTGTCGCAAAAGATCCGGCACCCGCAAACTGGCAGGATTATCTCATTTTCTGAAGTTGGCGATCCCCAAGGCTTCGCCGTCTTTGTCTGTGTTGGTATGGGCCTTACGAGATATGTAATGGCCTTTTACGACCAACTCGCTGCTACACTAAAGCTGCGACTAATTACACCGGACCGCCCTGGTATTGGAGCAAGTCAAGTGGATCCGAATGGGACCCCCCTTAGTTGGCCTGGTAAGTCGACGGGTCAGCTGCCAGCTCCTTTTGTCGTGTACTAACATTGACCTAGATGATGTCCTCGTAATATGTCAGGCCTTGAAGATCAACAAGTTCTCCATACTGGCACATTCGGCGGGAGCCGTCTACGCTCTTGCAACATCGCTGCGCATGCCACAACACATACGCGGCAAAGTGCACTTGCTTGCGCCTTGGATCCCCCCATCGCAAATGGCGCCTATCGGTATTAGCCAGGACAGCCCACCAACACAGCAACTTCCTAGATCACAACGCTTTCTTCGCGCCTTACCTCCATCGCTTCTCAAGGTAGCAAATTCGACTTTCCTGAGTGCAACAAGTGCCAGTCTCCAACGCACTGGACCCAAGACCGCTCCTAAAACAAGGCGGAAAAGCATCGCACCTTCGCCAGTGCCAAGCCAGGCCTCCGTAAGGCCACCATTAAAAGATACGCACCGACACTCCATGATGGTCATGGACCAGGTCTTGCCGAATGCCAGTACCTTGACTCTGGCAAATTCGCCATGCCAGAATGACGAAGAGGTGCAGCGCATGCAGGAAATGCTCAGTATAGCTGAACGCGAGCGGCAGCGTGCTTTTGACGAGCGTCTTACTTTTGCAATCTGGGACCGTGCAACGGCAAACGCCAATCCTGCCACCGATCTTATCGTCTGTCTGGAAACCAAGCAAAGCATTGGTTTCCGGTACGAAGACATTAATCGGCCAGTGGTTATTCACCATGGATCCAAGGACTCACGCGTACCCGTCGACAATGTGCGATGGCTAGGCAAGCTAATGCGCAAATGCGAGGTCCGCATCTTGGAGGGCGAGCAGCACGGACTCATGGCCAGCGCGCAGGTCATGGGCAATGTGCTCACAGAGATGGCGAGCGATTGGGAGGACTGGAACAACGCCACACGATATTCAAGCGACCAGCGTACCGTCTCAAGGAGACGGACAACCGAAAAGCTGAAGACACAAGTAAGCTTCACTACTTAGGTCCAGACATGCCATACACACCACGTAGGCACGGGAACCCCCTATATCGATTCAAACAACTCGAATGACTTTTGACACGGTCTAAATATTTCTATTCTATCACGGAAGCGAGCCAGCGCTCAACCGCATTTTTTTCCCTTGCCTTATTTTTATCTTATTTTCTTGCCTACATTTCCTTGGGAACGATCGGATGAATACCCCTTTTAGCAATTCTGTTCATTGCCATTAATATCTCTCTATATTTTTTTTGTTTGCTTTGTTGTGTCTTAATTCGATCAGCTGTTCAATTCTGTCCTTTTCGGCACACTATACCCTTTTCCCTGGATGAGTTGTACTTGGGTACGCGGGGATGCTTGTCTTGTTGTTGTTTTTCTCCGCTTTTCTTTAGTCGTATTCATAGAGGAAGGAAGGAAGAAAAGGATGGATGGGGGGCAAGGTGGCTGGCACGGTAGAAGGGATGGTGTTCTTCTAGTTCCATAGTAGGTGATGGTGGGTAGATGGAGCCGTGTTCTCAGATGTATATGTTTCAGCATATTCGCATCGCACCTCATAGTGGGTCTTTTCTAGGCACGGCCATATAGACATGAATAGCTATAATGACCTGCTTGCAATTCTACACCTCGACAGTTGCATCTGATACCTTTCTACCTGCCAAGTATTCTGCCCAAAGTGGAAAAATAATGTGTCTCTCTGGCAGCACGATATCAGACCACTGATACACACTGTGCGTACATACATGTCCCAAAATCAAACCCCGCTCTTTATAAGGTGTACGCTTCGGCACCCTTACCAAAGAGCAAATGGGGCTTTCTCTGCGCCAAATCCAGGATGGTCTGTGCAAAAACCGAATTCGCCCACGCGAACCAACTCCGCGTAAACGACGACGCATAATCCACATTGATACTCTCATGCACCAGCCCCAGTTTGGACACGTTCTTAACAGACTCCAGACACTTTGTAATCTCAGCATCATCCTCGCTCGTCATAGCCTGCACAAGGACAGCCATAGGCCAAGCAGACCGCAGGCCAACATGCGGCCCACCAATGCCATTAAACGACGAGCCAACAAGGTAATACGGATTCCCCTTCTTGTCCAAAATCATCTTGCGCGTATTCTTGTAAATCTCGTTATTCGCATCCGTGAAGCCGAGGAGAGGAAGGGCAAGTAGCGAAGGCAGATTGGCATCATCCATGAGGATAGAGGAGCCGTATCCATCCACCTCGAACGCGAATACTTTGCCGTACTTCTTGTGCGTCACAACGCCATGTTCCCAGACGCCCTTTTCGATCTTCTCGCCCCACTTCTTGAGTTTGGTGGCGATGTGCTTTTTGCCTGCTTTCTCCAGAATGAGTGCTGTGCGTTGGAGCTCTGTCGCCATCATCGCATTAGACGGGATGAGGAAGCCGAGGATGGTGGCATCGTCGCTGGGGCGGAAGGCGCTGCGGACGAGGCCTGTGCCGCCATTCAGAGGGTTGCCCAGACCGCTGAGGCCGAGGGTTTCGGTGCCGCTGTCGGTGTGACGCTGCCATCTGTATTCGTTGCCGAGATAGGTGCCCGTGTCTTCGTCAAAGGTGGGTTTGGATTGCTCGTTTAGCACATCGAGCAGGGTGTCGAGGGCGAGGAGCCAGCGGGCGTTGATGAATTCGGTTGAGGAAGTGTGGTTGTGGAATTGGTTGGAGAGGGAGAGGAAGTGTGCGAGCGAGTCGAGCTCGTATTTGCATTCGAAAACAAATGATTGCTCGTAGATCGGGTGGACGTTGTCGCCGTCGCCTTGGAATGTGGGTTTTAGTCCGCTTGGAGGGGGCGGCTGGAATGCGTTGCAGTATGGGGATCCGATGACGTATTCGGCCTGCGTGTTGATGGCTCCTAGAATGAGTTTGTGGATTTCCTTGTCTTTTTTGGCCAGGAGCTGGTATTGTGCTAGCTGGTTTGTCGAGTCACGTAGCCATTCGGCATTGATGTCACCAGTGACGATGAAACTCTGTGCTCCTTTCCAAGCGGCAGGGTCCCAGCTCTTCTTCGACATCTTGGCCTTTGAGGTCCCATCCACATGCCATCTCACAGTGGTATCTAGTGTGTTTGGAAAGGCGTTTTCAAAGAGACGAGCGAGATCTTTATCAACCATCTTCTCGCTCATATCATCAATGACCTTTTCTACAAGAGGCGATTCAAACGTTCGACAGTACTTGGAGGGCCGTTGGAAGGGCAATGACAAGGGACCAGAGCTGTATGGTGGACTGATACATCCATTAGCGCATGTCTTTCTCAACACAATACTCTGCATACTGTGGTCGCTTGGCATAGTTTGCGTAGTCTGGACATGCTGCGCGGTACTTGAGTGGGTCGATATCAGCTCTCAGAGGCTCTTGGTCGTGGATATTATTCAATCCTGCAGACACGGGTTGAAGAGTGAGGAAGGATCCCAGGGAAAGCGCGGCTAAATGCGACTTCATGATGCTGGAGATGCAGGTACAGCAATGTCCGGCAGAAGTGGTGTTGCACGGCGATGGTGGACAGCGAGGAACGGATAAACGGATATGAGACAAGGCTAGTATTTAGGTGAGGTTAATCGGCATGGCTTGGCCAACATGCAAATTATCTCAAGGGCACTGGGTGCAAGACAAATGGACAAGCTTCAATCGACGTTTGAGATTGTCCATGTTGAGCTCACGAGGTGGCTGTCAGACGCGGAGCACGCCAACACCTCCGCCAATCAGCAGCCGTCAAGTCCGCAGGGCCCGTGCTGCAGCTCGAATGTCGTGTGGAATGCGACCTACACCATACGCTTCCTTTCCCCTGCATACACAAGCTCACTATTACATTTGCAGAATTCTTTTTCGGGCTCATGCTAAATCTACAGGAGCTAGTTCGTCCCTAGCGATTCGAGTCCGATCTCCTTAGCTTCCTGCGCCAGTCGAGTCGAGCCGAGTCAAGCCAAGCGCATACCACGCCAGCCATCCACCTTTGAAACAACGTCTTGATTGATCGCATTCAGTATACACAACCAACATGATTTCTTTACCAGGTCTCAACCTATCCTCACAGCCCGTCGAACCACAAAATGCACCGACGTCAGTAGCTACACGGACTCAAGAGCTCGCAGCGAACACCGAGTACCGTTTCGAAGTCTCCTTCTCCCGGACTCTCACAGTCAAACTGCAATCGGGCACAGCAGAATTCTTCGGTACTGAACTCGCACCCTCGACCACGTACTCGTTCTCAGGCACAAAAGGAGCCATCTTCACATGGCACGGCTGCAAGCTCGATATCGGCGGAGAGGTAGAGTCGGATTACATTGCCGAAGAAACACCCATGATGAGCGTTGCAAACTTACACTTTGCGCTAGAGAACCTGCGCGACAAGAGCGTTGCCAGCGGCGGCGTAGAGATGGGCCCTAGAGTACTAGTCGTGGGACCCGAGAACTCTGGCAAAACATCTCTCGTCAAGACACTGACGTCCTACGCCGTCAAGACGGATAGACAGCCAATGGTGGTGAATCTTGATCCACGCCAGGGCATGCTCAGCGTGCCTGGGTCTTTCTCCGCTGCCGCATTCTCGTCAATAGTAGACATCGAAGAGGGCTGGGGCACCAGCCCCATCTCGGGACCCAGCCCTATCCCTGTGAAGATGCCGCTGGTATATCACTACGGGCTAAGAGACCCAGAAGAAGGCAGGGTATTCAAGCCGTTGGTCACACGCATGGCACTTGCTGTTACTAGTAGACTTGAAGAAGATAAGCTGAGCAAGCAAGCTGGCTTCATCATCGATAGCTCGGGCGCCATCAGCCATGGAAAGAATGGTGTCTACGACAACATAGAGCATATTGTTTCTGAGTTTTCTGGTGCGTGTGATGTCTTGACATATATCTCTTTTTTTTTCTTTCTCGTCCAACCAGCACACACTCGTCACAAAAATCTACCAACGACTCCTACACACTTTACATACACCCACACACAATCCAACATTTACAATCTCCACTATCCACATACACACACCCAGGTACCGCCCCACAAACTTGCTCGATCCAATCAACTAACCACGAACCCTCTTCTCTCCACCCAACAGTCAACGTCGTCATAACCCTCGGCTCCGAACGCCTCTACTCAGACCTCTCGCGCAAATTCTCCACCCGCACAACCGACCCCTCTGAATCCGTCAGCGTAATCCGCCTCGACAAGTCCGGCGGCTGCGTCGACCGATCCGAAACCTACATGCGCGCGCTGCGCCACGCCCAGATCAAAGAGTACTTTTTCGGCCATGGCGACGAGACGCTTGCGCCCAGCAGCCAGACCGCCGACGCTGCTGACTTGCACATTTTCCGCCTTGTGGCCGGTGGCGGTAGCAACGGTGCCGCTGCTGATGGCGACGACGCGAATCCAAATGAAGCCCCCGTAGATGACTACGGTATCCCGCTCCCTTCGGGTGTGCTGTTTGAGAAGGCGCTGCCCGCCGAGGGCATGGTCAATCAGCTGCTGGCGATTACGACGGCGAGCCCAAATGAGGCGCATGCGGTGATTAGGGATAGTAGCGTTAGGGGCTATGTCTACGTGGCGGATGTGGATGAGAGTAAGAAGAAGGTCAAGTTGTTGAGTCCCTTGCCTGGCCAGACGCCAGCGAGTGCGTTGATTTTGGGGAGTTGGCCGGAGCCGGTGGAGGGGTTGGTGAATTAGTTTGGTTGGGAGGAGGGATTGAGAATGTGTTTTTTTTTTGGGAAGTGGAGAGAGAGAGAGAGAGCGCATTCGTGGAAGTGTTTTGATGGTCTTATTTTTTTTTCGTGGTTTGTTTTGAAATAAAAGGGTTCGATGAAAATAAACTACTTATATGCATTTGGAAGTGGCCTTTGGCTTTCTTCAAGATTCGTTGAAAAGATGGCTACCGAGGATAGCTTGCATCTGTGTTGCCCAGCCCCCGACCAAAACTCCTACCCAATATCGCTCGTAATCACTATTTCAGAGAATCAATCTCCACTTCAGTTCAACCCTCCCTGTTCGTCTAGTTTCTCCATACTGTTTACTTACAACATCTCCCTCCCAACCCTTTGAGACATATTGGCGTTTCTTCTTCGCCGACTGAAAATTGCGCGGGTACACGCAATTACTCTTGGCACGCGGCCACAGGTAACATGCAGTGCACATGGAAATGTTCTTATAGTCGTAGGATCCGTCTCTCTCTTTCGCAACTGGAGTACTCCATTTCCTCTCTTTGGTTTTTTTTTTCTTTGACGCATAAGCGAAAGACCAAGGTGATAAAACTCTCACATCTCTTGGTGTGTGTTTGATTTTCGAGATTGAGGAAACGTCCGAGTACAGTAGCTGGCAATCTCGAACTCCATCCATTCTGAAGCTTCTGGTCCTCTCAATTCAAAAGCATCCCAATCACCGCACACCTACGTGCTACAATCCCATTCCTGCATTTCGGTCCTTGCACAAAAATCACTCATCGTCTCCCTCACAGTCTCGTCTCTCGGATCAACTCTCCACCCCATATGCTGCTTTAGCCGAGCAAGCGTCTGAACTTCAGTTTCCATAAAAGGATTCTCGCCATTGTCATATAGGTAATTGTCTACTTCTTGGTCCACGAGTTGCAAGTTGATCGTATCGGGGTCAAGTGGCTGGAAAATGACGAAACTGGGTTTAATCGGGTGATTTGTGGTGCTGTAATGTGTCTTTAGGCGCTGGAAGAGCGGAGCCCAACCGGGTCGGCCGTTCCCTTGGTATAGGCAGTACAGTGCAATGTGCCGTAAGTTTGGCATCGAGGTGATGAGGCCAAATAGACCGTCGTCTTCCGCAACCACGTGTCGCAAGGTCAAGGTCTTGAGCTGTCGTCTCAAGTTCTCAGGAATAGGGATGAAGCGCGGTACATATCCGAACATGGGTGGTATCATGTTGCAGCTCAAGTTCAAGTCCAGATGCTCAAGATGTTGAAGCTCTGCGAGGAAATTCTGGGGGCTGTAAATATTGTGAGGAGTCGAATCTGCTCTTGTATCCTCTTCAAATGTAACGGGAAACTTGAGATATTTCAGGGCGGTATTTCGAAACAAGTTTCTAGTGTTATCAATGTCCCTCCGATTTAGAGAAAATTCGTCTTTGGAGGGAATCATGGACTCGTTTTCTGTTTCGACAACAAATTCCTCAATGCCTAGATTTGGCGTGTCGAGTATGGTAGAGACTAGGCGGGAATAATCCCCAGAGTGCATTGACGGTCGGCTGCTACGGACAGTCGTCCTCATAGGACTGTCATGGGCTTCGATTGGGCGAAAATGCGCACGAAACACATTTCTGATTTGTGGTTTGCGAAATCCCACAGGTAGTGACCGATGAAATGGCGTGTTGTTTGGGTGAGGAAAGGCAGATGAGCGCCAGATTTCGGTTGTATATGTGACTCTCTTGAGCGCTGTAAACCCCATCAAGGCTTTCTCGAGTGCATCGATATCTGCTTCTTGGCCCATGATGGCTTGTTCCTCCCGATACAGATCTTGATACAGCGAGTAACTATCTTCAATGTCCATCATGGCTGCATTTCGAGCAAGGACCTCTCTTGAGAATTGATCATCGTAACGCAACAGGATTTCTTTCGCAATCTCAGTCAATCGCCCATTGCTCTCGAAAAGGTCGTCATGCTCGAGCGCATGGTATTCAGGATTGTCATCACCATAGATCCAGATGGCTTCCTCTAGTCGGCTTTCGATCGATCTCGTAGTCTCTCTTTCATCAAGCAGGATTGCATCGCGGAAGCTGTTTAGCGTTTTGTACTCTTCGAGACGTGTGTCATCCCAGACAACCTCGTGGACACAATGTTTATACCTAGGGTGAGACAAGATCTGGTAGAGATAGTCAATATTGGCTCGATTTGGCGAAACGTAGACGCGGTCGATGCGCAGGTAGACGCTGTTAGCTAGCTGCTTACTAGCAAGTCGCAGATGCTTGATGTCCGGTTTTGAGATGTGTGCGCACACCAAATCAAGCAGCTCAGCTGGTAGGTCTAAAATAGTTTTCCGCCTCTTTGCCGATGTTCCTTCACCGCTACCAAAAGCTTCCGGAAATTCGTCGCCAAACAATCCCTCCATGAAGCTCAGCGACGGCACCCTGCTCGCGCTCAAGGCGGAAACGTATGACACTCGGCGCTTTGAGACACCTGCTCGGATAGTCAAATTAGGCTTCCGACGTTCGGGTTTGGCGGGCCGGATTTGAAGGTTGGAAAACATTGTTGTTGTTGTTGTTGTTGTTTTAAAATTGTGCGTGGATTTACAATGCCGTGAAAAAGATGTTCAGTATCAGTAACAATAATAGCACAGCCGTAGAAATGTAAAGGCTGATAAGGGTGTAGCTATTCTGGGCTATCTGGTGCACATTGTGGGTCGAGATGTAGGCAATGGCGCAATCATTCAAGCTGAGCGTCGAATACAAGGGGGCGGGGAGAGACAGAAGAAAAGCAAAAGTCAATGATGGGCAAAATACGGTGTCGGACGACAACAGTCTAAAGGAAGTGAAACACAAGGGCTTGTGATGGCGCTACCAATGCAAGGCGGCGGCGAGCTACCTGATTCGAGGTGGGAGAAGCGACCATTGTAGGTTTCCGTAGTAATCGTTGTTGTGCATGTGACTAGCTGAGATGGGCTTGAGGGGGCAAATCAGGCATTTGGAGGGCAATTCAGGCCGCCGACACTCGCATCGTGCCCTTCGCTTACCGCCTGCCCGCAGTGGATCTCTTGGCCCAGTCGGCGTCAGGAGCTATCGACGACATCACAACAACAATCACACGCAAAAGTACCATATTGACCTCTTCCCATTGCTTCAGGCGCTTTCCAGCAGCCCGAACACATGCCCGAAGGCCTACATAATCCGGTGCTGCCCTTCTATCGGGCACACGCACACACACACACACCTTGCGAACGGTTCCACGACGCATTGCTCCCGACGACAGCCACACCCGCTAAACTTCCCAGCTACCCAGGTGTATAGTATAGCGACCACGGCATCGCGGTAGATGCACTCGCTCTTCCCATATCGATATCAATATTGACCAGCACCCAAATGCATACATGCCCATACCCCGCACCAACCGATGCCCAAGCATGGCAGTATGACTGAGGTCTGTGTGTAAAAGTCGAAGATTGGGAAGGGGGCGAGTCATTCACTTAGGAGCCCTCCTCACCCTCGGCCTTCTTGGCCTTCTTCTTCTTTCCACCAGAAGCGAAGGCGTTGGGTGCGGTAGGGTTGGCCGACTGGTGGACGATGAAGCGCGTGTAGCACTCTGATGGGTCCCACTCAAATCCCATGAGGTAGGGCTTCTCAAACTCGTCATCTGCCTGAAGGAGGGGTCAGCTGTACTCAAAAAGAAACATGGGCGATGACACCATCATCAAAGCAGACTTGGTCGTCATGGCAGCAACGGACAGGGTGTGTATGTGTGTGTACTTACGCGCTTCTTGAACTGCTTGTGGATGGCATCTAATGCGTCCTTGATGGTGACACCCTTCATGTTCCGTGCGACGACCTCGAGGCCAAGCGGGAAGTGTAGGGTAATGGACTTGAGCTTGGGCTCGGTGAGTGGCAGCTTCAGTACTGATGGGTCCTCAACAGTGCTTGGTGACTTGTTCAGCTTCCTGGAGAGCTACTTGTTAGCGTGGGTTCAAACAAAGAAAGCCGGCCAAAGTTATCCGGACCATGGCGGACCAGTCGACAACAGTGCCGAACAGCTCCGAGAGAGCAATGGGATAAGGGTGTCTTACCAGTTGAGCTTCTGTGTCTCAATTGAGATCTCAATGTGCTTGCCCTCCTTCTCTGTGGCCAGGTCAGCACAACTTGCCCCTCACTCAACACCCCCGCATCGTAGCCCTATCAGCAGAAGCACATACCTAGGTCTTCAATGCGGTAGACGTCAGCGGCCATGGAGCTGACTCTGCGGTGGCCCTTCTTGGCGGCGCCATCCTTGTGCTCCTCGGTGAGAGAGTCGACCTTCTGGAGGATGTTTTCTGTCTCTGCGGCCATGGTAGTGGTATTGCAGGAGTAAGCTGGGGGCTAGCAGAAGCTATGGAAAGAGTAGATGGTGAGGAGCAAACAAAGAGAGCTCGGTGAAGCTGTATAGAGGCTGGCTGGCAGTCAGGGGCTGGAGGAGAGTGAGGGAGGAAGAGTGAGGGAGAAGAGAGCGAAGGGGAGGGCACAGCTTTATGAGGGGCTTCCAATCTGTAGCCGGCAGGAAGGCACAGGCGACGGTCACTTGATTGATCACCACATCAGGGCCCCAATCCAATCGGATTGAGATGTGAATGGTCGGACCAATGCGGGGAAGGGCGAGCATCGCCCAGAATGCGGGGAAGGAACCACCACCATTGGTGTGAGCGTGCGTGCGTGGCCCGGCCATCACGGCCTTCATGGCGTGCCACCAGAGGCAACGCGGAAGCTAAGCAATTGAGCCTCACGAGTAGGTACGCAAATCAACACGGCGTGCCTCGTCTCCTGATGTTTTTGCTCGTGTTGCGGCTGTTTGATGCGCGCGGCACGCTCAGGTACGGTGGTGAGATGCATCACGCGACCGACGTCATTGGTCGTGCCATGGGTTGACAAAGCCCGCATCGACACGCATCCTCTCAGCTCCGGGCCCTAATACGGACCAAGTGCGTTGATTTGATCCACTTAAGTCGATGCAAGCCACTGTAGTCTGCGCCGACGTGCACACTCAACATGTCATTACACTATGCCCGGAGTTGCATTCAAAAGGTCCCATGGTCGCCCCACCAATCTACGAGTGTCCCGAGATTCGCACAGGCTCATACAGTTCCTCGAGATACTTCTCCTCTTCCTCGCTCAATTCCTTGCCTCGCGCTGCCAGCGCTTCGTCCATCCTTTCTACACTAGAGAAGCCAATGATTGGGCTTGCAACGCGCTTGTTGATCCACGCCAGCGCAACATGGCTCATCTTCCAGTCGTGCTTTTTGGCAAGCTCCTCGACACGTCCAATGATCTTCTTGTCGCGATCCGTGTTGCCTGAAGTCTGATTGCCGGCTTTTTGCTCGCCTTCTGAGCGCGTCGTCGACCCAAAGGCTGATGGAGGGCGAGCAAGATGGCCACGGCAAAGAGGTGCCCACTAGAAAGCAGCGTTAGCAATGTCTGACAGCTATGCAGCAAATAGAAGCACAGACCGGAATAAGACCAACTCCTGTGTCGTTGCAGAAGCGGTTCATCTCACGCTCCTCCTCGCGGTAGAGTAGGTTGTAGTGGTTTTGCATGCTGATGAACTTTGTCCATCCGTTCTTCTCAGCCACAAACTGCAGCTGAGCAAACTGTACCGCCCACATCGAGCTGGCACCAATGTACCGCACCTTGCCACTCTTTACCAAGTCATGTAGTGCTTCCATAGTCTCCTCGAGGGGCGTGTTGGGATCAAAACGATGGATTTGCAAAAGATCAATGTAGTCCACGTCAAGCCGCCTGAGCGAAGCATTGACGGCGTTGAAGATTGCTTGACGCGACAGTCCACTTTGGTTGACATAGTCTTTCAGCTGTGGCATTTCCTTGCTGTACTGTATAGTGCGAAGACCGGGGTCTTCGCCTACAACCCCAAAGCACTTTGTGAGAATGACAAGCTTCTCACGAGGGAGTTGGTACTGCTTGATGGCCTTGCCGATGATTTCCTCGGAAACTCCGTTTGAGTAGACATTGGCTTCAACAACATTAGCAAGCATTACAAGACTCCCTATCACTTCGTGTCCTCACCAGTGTCCCATGTGGTGAGACCTCGATCGTAAGCAGCCTTTAGTAGCGGAAGCGCCTCTGCTTCCTCAATGACCCATGGCTGCCATTTTGAGCTTCCAATGCTCATAGCACCCAGAATAGGCACCGACACCTTGAGTCCACTTTTCCCTACACGCCTGTACTCGGCCTTGGACTCCTTGAGGAGACCCTCCACATCTAGCTTGTCTGGCATATTTGTCGAGTGGTTCGGCTCTTTCAATTGTTGGAGGGTTTGGTAGTGTTACTATTGAGCTTTGATAGGGATAATGCGTATTCGAATGCTGAAACACTAATCAGTTCCTGTTCACATATGCAGGGCATGGCTCTAATTTATTCGCCCTTTTGCCCTTCGGCCCTTCACCACATGCTTACTGATCCTGCGAGTGATGAGCCGTCAGTCCTCGGAGTTTGCGGTGATAATTTAATCATTATGCCGGTGGCTGTACTTTGTAGTATTGCGAATAGCAAAGAGTGCGGGGTGTTGGCATGATGTGCCGTAGTGCTACAGCACGTGTACGTCATGAGTGGCAGATCACGCCCGCGGACATCCATGCTGCTATCTCGACGGGACCAAACATGCATACCCAACTGTCCTTCCTATTTAGGTTGTGTCGTCAAGATGACTGTGCAATCTCAGATATACAACGCACAGCAGGTGAAGCTAACTTGGTGGACATGGGAAGCGTTCTTTCATTGGCTCTGTATGTTAACAAAAGCTCTCGCTGTCAACCACAATCGTCCTGTACTAAAGAAGTAAGTCCCGAGCACCGACCCTTGTACAAACACGGAAATTGCTGACTTCCCATCATATCACCAAAATCGTGGATGCATGCTTCTTCCATCAAGTCATTGGTGGTATTGTTTGAACATCGTTTTTGAGCTTAGACCCCCAGGCGCCAACCGCACGTGATGTGATGCAGAGAAGTTCATAGATGCTCATGTGCCCGTAAAGAAACCCGTACTCCCCAGAACCTTTTACGCGTCCTCGACAATGTTGCCGCGCTCCGACACGTACAGACCGTCCAAGAACTTTCGGATATCCTTGTTGCGGACCTTGCAGATTTGTTGGATATCAGCGGCACCCTGGGAGACATCCTCGAGTGACTGTTCTTGTTAGCATGTTGGATTTGAATTTGGAGCAACTTGTTCTTACGTTTCCGGAAAGCTCAAGCTGGTCCTTGACGTTCTTGGAAGCCTCAACCTCAACACCGGGCCTCAGGACAACCCTTCGTACGAGCTTCTCGCCGATGAAGTTCCTGATCTCGACCTCCCAGCAGCCGGACTCGTTGTTCTTCTCAAGGTTGACGTTGATGGGAAAACTGAGTGAGACGTTAGCCAATTTCCATATGTGCAACGTTCGCCGTGAGCCTTGTCCAATTTGCGTTGTCCAACACTTCGAATACACCAGTAACAATCATCCTGCTTCGGCCGGTTCTGACGAAGTACTTGGCAACCCGCATTGGACCAGACGATGGTTTCGAGATGGCGAAAAAGAGATTCCGGTGGTAACATACTGGGCATATACGTATCGCATCTTGTACTTGTAACCCTTGGTGACACCGATGATCAAGTTGTTCTGCTTCCAGTCAGCCCAGTCCTTCCTCTGCCAGTGGTTCGATTTGTTCGGTGCGTTTGACGTACGATGAGTGTGCGGACGGTGCGGAGAGTGGCGACGCTCTTGCGGATGCCGTGGTGGAGCTCGATCTTAATCAGATCCTTCTTGGGCTGTGCCAAACTTAGTACATTCCGTTGATATCAATTCTTGAATCACAAACGTACGTGTGAGAAGCTGACCGCCAAGTGACCGAGAGACTTGCTCAGCTTGCCCTGCTTTGTGTAAGAAACGGTTCGTCGAGGATGTGTAGTTGCGCTTGGCTTACTCGGGGACCTATTCAATTGTAATTAGTACAATACTGGTAATTCAATGCCCAATTGCGCACTCACCCTCAACAACGACATTTCGGTTCTTGATGCTGACCTTGACGCCCTCAGGGATGGGGAGTTCTTCCTCGGAGTGGCTGTTGCGCACTTGTCAGCATAAGTTCCAGGGATATGGTGTTTTGCGATCGTGGAATTCGGTATGGAGGCGTTCATGAACGGTTCGGAGGTGGAAAAAACCGTGTGTTGCAGCGATTTGTGCGTCGGGATCCAGGGGTAGACGTACATGTACTTCATCTTGACGGTTGCTGCGGGTTAGCGGTGTTGTCGAAGCTGAGGTCGATTTTGACGTGTGTGAAGGCCGAGAATGTGTGAGGGCGGAAAAACGATAGCCGAGCCATAGGCCTAGCACGCTTTCGCACTAGTGCGGTCGTCTTTCCTCTGCAAACCCCATCGTCATCTTGAGCGCCGCCAAATTTGTCCCGCAATCAAGTATCCGACTCCGCTGTGTAGCTTGCGTTTTCCACAGTATACGGTATCTTGAAATTGTCCTGGCTCATATCCTGGAAAGTCCCTGCCGAGCATCACTGGAAATCAACCTGCCGAATGATCGGCGAAGCGATTGCAACTTTCGCAACAAGCCAGCAAAAACACACACCTACTTGCAATATTTCGTGTGCAAATGGCTAATTCCAACCCGCACATTGCCCAAACCCTGCTTCATCGCGCCTTCTCTCCATCGACTGCCGAATCGCATTATCGGGAACGCGCTGTCACGCGCCCTCTGTATGTTCGTGCGACATCCCCGACACCATCAGCGCGCGCTGTTCGCCGTCAAGCCCTCAACGAGCGTAAAGAAGCCGCTAGGAAGCGCAGCAAAAACAAGCCTCGTCCACTCTCTGCCGCGAAAAAACGCGCACTGGGCCTCAATGAGATTTCAAAGGAGCAGCAAAAGTATGCCATCTACGAGGGGCTACACAATCTCTGGATAGGCTACATGAGGGAAGTACTGGGCGTGAATGATGTGTCAAAGGGCGTTGTGATCACTCCAAACGCAAGCGGTCAGATACTAGCAACCGCCGATATGCACGGCGCGCTGGTGACAGTGGTGAGGAGCCGGTGTGTGAGTCGTGTCGGGTTAGAAGGGATAGTCGTACGTGATACTCGATTTACCTTTGACCTCATAACCAAAAACAACGTTATCAAATGTAAGTTTGTAGGCACCAAGTAGGTAAGTGGGGTAAGTAATCTGACGATATTAGCTGTACCCAAGGAGCACACCATCTTCCGGTTTCAGGTGCCGCTTCTATCTGGTGAAGGAGAACCGCCCAAGAAGCCACTGACTTTTGACATCAATGCCGAGCAATTTCAAACGCGAGCGGCCGATCGCGCCAACAAGAAGTTCAGGATCCATTATCAGCCGGACATATGAAGACTAGGGATGAGCAGAAATGAGAAAGATTCTGACATGCGGCCTTCCAAATACGTCTTTGAGCCGGATAGAGAAGGTCATGCGAACTTAGTCGAACATGCGATGCCAACGCCTGTCCAACTAATTTGAGGTAAATTCAGCTACAAGGAAGATGCTCAAGATGAAGCTTTAACCCACCTGCACGGGTAGAAAGTGCCCCGAGGCCGGACCTGAGAACACCAAAGGTCATGCGGCGAAGACCACAGACCCCCAGAAGTCAGAGTTTGACATCACACCCTGGCAAGCAAATTCAGTTGGAAGAAAAGCAGAAATAAACATTCAACTATGGTATCATCGTGAACGAACTCTCAAAAATAAAATTCCAAAAAAAAGAACGCCATTTCGCATGATGCGTTTGGTATCATATAATTCAAACGCCCAATTTGCATATCCATCATATAGCTTTAAAAATCCCCCCCAAAAAAAAACAACCACTCTAAGCTTTTGCCGCAACACTGACATGGCGAAAGTCCTCTGGCTTGTACTCCTTGAGCTCCGTGTCCTGTCCACAGGTACTCGCACTATACATTGAAATCTCATCCTTTTCCTTGACCGCCCTAGCCTTGTCGAGCCTGAGGCGGGTATAAGAGCGGGGGAGATAGCGGCCGGGGTGCCAAATAGCAAAGATGAGCAGGACACAGACTATGGGAGCAGCGTCAAAGGTCCAGAAGCACCACTCGTGGCTCTGCAGGTAGCGCAGGCCGTAGTTGCGGTCATGCGGTATCTCCATGGTGCGGTATACGGCGCGCAGGGCGATGAGGACGGAGGAGAGGTTGATGGTGTAGGAGAGTTTGCGCCAGAGATGCATGTCGCCGAGGTCGTAGGCGGCCCACTTTCTGGACATGTAGAAGTAGCGGATGGAGACGAGTGAGAAGGTGGCAAAGCACAGCATCTGGAGGACGAGGCCCAGGACGAGGATGATACGGCCCGGCAGCGCGGCTTGCTCGGATATGCTGATGGTGCGGTCGCCGTTGGGGGCTTTGTCGTAGTGTCTACTTATCTGGGATGCGCCGATGAGTTGGACGAGGAAAGAAAACATGTCGAAGGCGACGAAGGTCGGGGTGATCCATTCGGGCCAGCACCACAGTGTCTTGAAGTTGAGTGCCTCGGTCGGGCAGCTGAACCAGATGACGCGGCCAAAGGACATGTAGCAGGCTGCGGCGAGGAAGCTGGGGGCCAGCAGGATCATGAGCCACGAGACGAGGAAGGGAGACTCTTTGCCCTCATCGTACGACGACACGGTGCGGCAGATGAAGCCGAGGTCCAGCATCAGGATGCCGATGATGGCGGCCCAGAAGAACCATGACCGGTGCCGCAGGTATTGGGTTATTGAGTAGATGGACAGCAGGACAATGATGATTGTGCCGATAATAGCAAGCACGCATGATGGGTCGTAGATGTATGGGTTTAGAATCCTATGGCCTGCTAGTCATGTTAGCCAGGTTGTTGTTGTGTCGTGCGTTCTCCAGCAACCCCCCAAAAAAGAACAAAAAAAGTAGTAGCGCTAAGTATATCAAGCGGGGGGGATTGTACTGTTAAAAAAATGTAGTATAAAAATGGTAATGGATTGATATGTGGCGTTTTGAGTAGTTAAAAAAGGGCCCATGGTTTGTTAACGTACCAAATTGATCCCGTTTGGGAAACTGGGTTGCCCGCGCATCTAGCAAGGTGTCCATTATTATCCTAGCACGAAATCTCCCGCTTCTTGCGTCTCCACCGCCGCCCTATATTCGCAAGCCACACACACACTCTCACACGCGCACGCACGCGCGCTGGAGGGGGACAAAAGTAAAGTTTTACAGGTTTTTTTTTCTCCGGTCCAACCTACGGGATCGGAGTTTGTGCCTGGACTGGTCGCTCGTGCAGGCAGCATGCAAGAAGCATTTGACGCCTGGATTCGGGAAGGGGCAGTGGGTTTGTCGCGTAAAAGGGAACTGACTGGATTATGTGGAGAAAAAAGGTTGGGCCAGCAGCAAGGGCGCGGGTTATTTGGCGTCTAGAACAGATGTGGTGGGCAGCCGGCAAGGAAAAAGAGGCGCATGCTATATTTAAAAGAACAGAGGCTGCTGCGGAGATTTGAATGAAGAACACACCCAAAAGAATACAGAGACGGGGAACCAGGGCGGGTAGTGTGGGCTGCCCGTAGGTTTTACCAGCGCACGCGTTCTCCGCTTGCTAAGAGCACTCAAGCACTAGGCGTGCCTTGTGCCCAAGCTTCCCTCCGCTCGTCGTTTGTCACGCTGCCCTGGCCGGGGACAGCCTTGTGCGCGTCCTTGATGCGAGACGGGGCGCAGGCGGGCGCAGACGGATAACTCGGATCTGACGTCTTTTGCTTGGCTTCCATCTCGTCTAGCCTTGGATCCGCGCCATGGGATTTTCTTTCGTCTGACTGCATTCCCCATCCGCCCGCACAGAGCCAAGGGGGGTGAGAGTTGAGCGCAGTGACATACGTTGGCTTGTCGCGGGCAAACGGGCATGCGCGAATCCCACCCCGTACTACAAGGCTGAGTGCTGGCTGCCCTCGTTCTTCTTTTGTTCTCCTCACAAGCCAGCGGCAGCCAGCAAATGGCGCAAAACGAGGACTGAAGGGCCCCCCAAGGTAAGCAAGCGTAATACCGAGACATGTTGCTGGGGCGGCGGGCAACCAAACACATGTCGCGCTTTGGTGCTTGGAGACACAGCGTCCGCTTGGCAAACGACGACCAGGACATGGCATTGCTAACTGCCAAGGGCTTCCATCTGCCTTGGACTGCTCTCAGCGGCCATTTGCATACGTGGCGGCCGACAAAGGCTCTGCGCCCGCAGCCCCATAGCCAGTCTTTTGCGCGCTTTCTCGTGCGCCCGCCCATCTTGGGCCACGGTGGACGCACCGGACGGAATTCTTGGCCAGAGGCCTCCACGAAGCGTGATACCGTGCCCGACTTGCCGGTTTCAGTCGTGGGCTTTCGTGTCGCAGTGCGGTCCCTCTGCTGCTGAAGCACATGTCCACGGCAAGCAGGGATGAAACTGAGGCGCACAAGCGTGGCGCAGCCCTACTACCAAAGTAATGCTCTCAAACCCCGACTCAAAGGTGCACCCTTGTGACAACAGGCCGACAGACCGTCCTTGTTGCTGCTGACACTTCCGGCGCCTTTTCCGGACACTTGAGATTTGCCATGCCAAAACGCTCAACAGCCAGGGTCTTGCTGACCTCTTTGATCAGTCTTCGTTATTTGCATCACTCGGAATATCGCCAGATTCCCATTAACAAACCACATGCGCAGTCTCCATACCAATCTCCCTTTTCCATGCCAGCCATTACATCCAGTGTAGTACTAATTAGGCCTAAGACGGGTGCATGTAGGTGTATAGTAGTCAAGAAGTGACATTGGACCCACGCCCGCTCCCCAGAAAGCTAATGTTTCACCACCCGCTGCGGCGGAACGCTATAGCGCACCCTCCCATTCAACCTCACTCATCATCAAACTCATCATCCGAACATCCTTTGTCTGCAACTTGCTCCGCCTCTTTTTCGTCGTTGCCATCATCCTGGTCCTCGTTTTCGTCATGACCCATGCCCTTCTTCAGCCACCGTACCTCCTTTGGCTTTCGCTCCATCCACAATTCATTCGGCAGCCACACGTAGAAACTGCACATGGTTTCCTTGACATTGTCCAAGATATTCAGGCCACCCGATAGTACCAGAATGTCAGCGTCCATCTTCATGCCCATGAAGCAATCCCTAAGAATATCTCCTTCAATCCAAAACTCGTACTCTTGGCTGTCACCACTTGTCCAGGGCTTGCCGTTAGGGTACTTGTCCTTTGGTAGATCATACTCCTCGCATCCTGTGAGGTGCCAGGTCTTGCAGATCAGTTTCCCAAGAGGTTGAAGTTCCAGTTTGTGCCCGTAGAGCATGCTCTGCGCGTCATAGGCCGCTTTGGTGTCACAGTCGGGTGGGTGGATGGCGACCACTTCGAGGTAGGTCGACTTCTTACTGAGGACCTCCAACTTGGATGACTGGTACAGTCCGAACTGCTCGTCCGAACCCATGATGGCAATCCCAATGCCAAGCTTGACCTTGGCCTCTTCCTCAGAAATACCAATCTCTTCATTGTACACGCCCTCCTCTCTTAACTCCTCGGCCCAACTCTTGTTACCAGTGTAAAGGCAAGCTTGAGCACCGCCAAAAACGACGCTGGCAGACTTGTTAAAGTCTCCTGTCAAGGCAAGGCCTACAGCATTGGCTTTGGGAAGCTGCTCCTCAGCGTTGTCACAAATGTCGAGTGCAGCAGCGAGTTGGTCGTCATACTCAGGGCAGACTCTATGAAATCTGAGATACCTGAAGAAGGAGCGAAGGACTTGACAGGCATTCTTGATCAGATGGGGAGCGAAGCCGTAGTGAGCGGGATACCAAGATGAACTGTTGCCTTTAGCATTCGTTTTGTAGGCGTTTGGTAAAGCAGACTTACAGGAAGCCTTTGCAGACACCGGCAAAATCAACCACCCACTGAGTCTCATTGGCGCGATCCCATGGTACGTGGTGAATGGCAAGTGCTCTGGCGAGCTCTTCGGCGTCCATCTCGTTCATTTCCTGCTTCGATAGGCCTTGGTACATGCGTGGGCCAGCATCTACACCACCAAAGCGCATAAATTTATTAAAGACGTGTGCGTACATCTCGCGCATGCGCCGCTTGTTCTTGAAGCGCTGAATGGCGATCTCGATACGCTCAACAAAGTGCTTGTCGGAAGCGTACATATCGTCTTCTTGTGCGGCTTCGTCAGCTGTCAAGAGTGGCTCAACGTAGGTTCGTTCGAACCCTGTTGGCTTTTTCATATTCTTTGATACCCCTTCCAGGTGTGCGTCTTTCTTGATTTGCAAAAACGGCACCGGACGCGGAGCCGGCTTCTGAACGCGCGGGTCGTAAGCGATGTCTTCATCATCGAAGAAATCTAGATCTAGGAGGCATTTTCCCTGCAAAGGAATCTTGCGCTTGATGGTTTTGCCATCGGCAGAAACTTCGAGGAAGTTGCTTAGACGAAGTGCTGCAATGACTAGGCTTTTAGGTTTGTACTGTCGCATCCTCGGAAACCCGCAGATGCGGTTGATGGAAGCGGGAAGGTTCTCACGCCCGCCACAGAATTGCAATAAATGCGTGTCTGTGGGAAGGTTCTCATCAGAGAAGTAGTATTCTACCTTGAAGATGGTCAGTGTACCGTAGGTCTCATCAGCGACAGGAGCGGGAAAGCATACTTGACGACGGATGTCGGCACCATCAGGATGATCTTGAGCGGAGTTATTAGCGGTCGGGTTTACAAATGCACTTTGAGAAGCTTCATCGGAAGATCCAGCATCTGCTGTGGGTGGAGTCCCTGCGGTTGACATGTGCGACCAATATAGTTATCAGTCACGGAAGCGGAGGGAGTACTAAAGTGCCTGGAGATGGAGATGGGAAGTGATGAAGCTCTTTGAATTTGGATAGGGATCCACCAGAAAGATAGTCACAGGCGAAAATGGTGAAAATATTGCGTTTGCAAGCTGCAGTAAGTGAGAGAGCACTGTCGCAAGAATGGCAGGCGCGCAATCATATCGCTTTCGGAATGATTGCGCTTTCACCCTCACATTCACCACATGATATAAAAACGGCAGCTATATATACTGGGGAAATTGCAACAAATATTTGCCCTGCTAATTGTTGACTGCGAGGCACCTAAGTTTGCTCAGTAGATACAGCACTAGCTACGAATGGTGATGACTTCATGGTGTTGCACCACGAGTCATGAAGCTCTCCAGACCAGCCATGTCCCGACTCGCCCGTTACCTGTTACCCGCCTGACAGTGGGGTCCGGCATCACCCCACAACAGCTTCGTGCATCTTGCACTCCAACCCCAAACCCAACCCGCCGAGCCTAATACCTTGAGACCAAGAACTCTGCACCTACCCAGCACCATGGCGACCAAGAAATATGACGCGTCCAAGCTAAAGGCGTACGACAGTGCCGCTGCGGGCCAGTACGTGTGACCCAGAGGCGGCTGCCTACTGTTCAGCCGTTCCTTGCCTGCCATACTAAATCGCAAACTCCAGCGAAGGCGTACTCAGCGACGAATCCGGTGCTGTGGTCGTAAAGCCGTGTACCCTTGCCGAGATTACCTTCTATGAATCCCTCTCCGACCATCCCGATCTTGCGCGCCATTTGCCCACCTTTATGGGCCAGCTCTCCCTGTCCACCGACCAGACTGCCGCCGTAGAAAGTGTCGAAAGCGGCACCGTAAAGACTGCCGATGGGTCCATCGAGCGCCTGCATGGCAAGCATCTCGACACAGATCTACACATTGTGCTAGAGAACATTACGCATGGATTCAAGAAGCCAAATGTCTTGGACCTGAAGCTCGGCGCAAGGTTGTGGGATGACAACTCGAAGCAAGAGAAGCGAGATCGCCTCGATGCTGTTAGCAAGGAAACTACAAGCGGTAGTCTTGGCTTCAGGATAGCGGGTATGCGCACCTACAAAGGCGCCGACGTCCCAGACGTTCCCGACGACTTGAAGGAGTATGTCGAAGCTGACAAGGAGAATGGATACTGGGTGTACAACAAGATGTATGGGCGCAAGTTTAATGCCGAGAGTGTGGACGAGGGCTTCGTATCGTTCATCTACCCTGGCGCCAAGTCGGAAGCAGAACTCGATCGCGCGAGAGAAGTGCTGGCGTACTTCCTCGGCGAGGTCAAGGATATTCAAGAAGTATTTGAAAGCAAAGAGAGCAGGATGTACAGCGCAAGTATACTGCTCGTATACGAGGGTGATGTGGAAGAGTACGGCAACACGAAGCAGAAGTTACGCTCAGCGCACCCAGAAGACGAAGACGAGGAGGAAGAGAATCTGCCCAAGCTTGCAGAAGTCAAGATGATTGACTTTGCGCATGCCTCATGGACACCTGGCCAAGGACCCGATGAGAATGCGCTGCAGGGCATGAGGAGCACAGCAAAGATATTGAAGAGCTTACTGGACAAGGCACATGACTAGGGTTTTAATAGATCTGTTGTTGACTACTATAGATTGTAGATAGTGTGTAGCCAAGACCAAAGCTCATAGAATACTAGCCATTATGGTGAGCATATGTCTGTGATCTTTGGTACCCTCGGAGACTGCGGTAATTTGAAGCAAATGTAACACGGCAGCTATGTACACAAGGCTATGATTCAACAACATTCCTGCCAAGGAACACCTCATAGACTAGTTTTCCATGCTCAGCACTAGACGATCACCACGATACCATATCGTAATCAGTCCCACTTCTCACGCAACTAAACTTCCCAAACCGTACCGTGATCCCCAGCCCCAAATCCGCACGTTCTCCATAGCCGCGTGCTAAGAGGCCAAGCCAATACCTCACTCTCCTCCACAGTAACACCTCGAAACCCACCCATCCATCCAAAATAGCAGCGAAAAACAGGGGGACACCACGCTCGTACTCGCCTATGTAGGTGCCTAACTTTTCTGGCATCGCCTCCATCTTAGTCAGCACATAATTAGGTCCTTTATTTACAAAAGTAAAAAAGAAAAGGAAAGGTAACAACAATGCAATAGCCAAACCAGCCTTGTGTTTTTGTTTGCACTTCTCTCTCTCTCATACACACACAGCAATGAATCTAACATCATTACTATACAAGCGGAAAAACAAAAAATCGCAAAAGATGCAATCCAAAGTTTTGCTTCCATTGTACATCTATCCGCACCCCGGGGCGTGGGATCCGCTGTACACCGCGTAAATCCAACCCTTCCTTTTTTTTTCCCTCGTTCCCGTTTCCCCTTGGGTCTAATTTCCATGTATTCCTTACTCGATGGCAAAGAGTTCGCCCACACTAATAGCAACAAACAGCCTATCCGCGCATCCGCACCTCGACTTCCTAATCATCCTCAACCCAAACAGCGGCCCGGGCACCGCACCCTGGTGGCCCAACGCCGACTACCAGCGCGAGATCCCGCGGCTCAATGCGCTGCCCAACGTGACTACGCTGGGCTATGTACGCGCGACGTATTGTCAGCGCGCGCATGGCGATATCTGCAGCGACATTTGTACGTATGCGGAGCGCGGGCGGGCGGATGCCGGCTTGAAAGTGCAGGGCGTGTTTGTGGATGAGACTGTGAATTTGTATTCGAAAGAGATGAAGAGGTATCTTGATGGGATTGATCAGAGGGTCAAGCGCGAGGATGCGTTTGGTGGTGAGGGTTTGGTACGTTTATTTTTCATTTTCGCCTTTGCTTGCTTGCTTTGCTCATTTTTTTTTTCTTTGCTTGAAACACGAGGGTTTTTGATTACGAGATTTGACAAGAGCAAAAGAGAGCTGATGGAGTGTGTGTTTTTTTAGGTTATTCATAATCCGGGGACGGCGGTGAATAAGGGATTGGCGGCTCCCGGGCCGGATGTTACGGTTGTGGTGGAGACGTCGTATGCGCATTTTGCGAGCAAGGAGTATCAGGAGTGGCTTGCGACGTCGCCGTATGGGCGCGAGCGCGCGGCGTATATGGTGCATTCGGTTCCAGAGGGTGAGGTTGAGGGTCTTACGAGGGCGCTGCGGAAGAAGGCGGCGTACCTCTTTGTGACGAGTGCGACGTCTGAGTTTTATGAAAAGTTTGGCGATAGTTGGGACAAGTTTGTCGCGGTTATGGCGGAGCCGTGAAGGCGTGTGGATATATGTACGGAGAAAGAGCGTAGAAGTGGTTGTGGGATGGCGGAGTCAAGAGGTGCGAACACCGGGCTAGATGCGCCTGAAAATATAGACAAAGAATCTTTTACAGATGCAAATATTATGATGTACTAGAAGTTTTAATGCTTTCATCAAAATCAGGTAGTTGCTCACTTGATGACGTGTTGCTGTAGCGCTTCCTCGATAGTAGCCCATATCCTACATCGATTCCAGAAGCCAGCGGGCATATCGACCAAGCGGTCATCGCACCCACTGATGGGAAAGCGCTTCATTGCAAGAATTTTGGCTGCGCACCTCCAGTCCCAAGAAGCTGTTGGATCCAGAGGTGCTATGTCGGGTTGTGGCAACTGCTGCTCGATCTGCTTCGTGTCTAGGTCCCAGATATGGGGATGCAAGCTTCCGTCACCCAGACTGTTGCGCCAGAAGGTGGAGTCAAGCGGGATCTGTAACGCGAGTACTTTCGAAGTTCGGTGGAGCGCTATGGTTGATGGGATTGGTAGGTAGCTGCAAGTCTCATCTAAGAGTTCTTTTGGAAGACGCTCCAAGTTCTGGTGCTTGCGAGCTGGTAATTCGGAAAATTTAGGTTCATTTCTGGTGCGCGGCGAGCTCTGCAGGGTCCTTTGTACAAAAGCAGTGGTGTCGACTTGCTCGATGGGATTGGTGAAGAAACGCTTGCGTACTGTTAAGTCTGTGTCTAGATGAAGTTTGTTGAGACTTACGTCGTAACCGCCTCCCCACCACTCTAGTTTCGTCAGGGCTAATACGCTTCTAGGTCCGTAGACGCTGCATTGAGAAGACAGATTGAACAGATCGTTGATTGACTTAAGCGACCCGTCTTGGATTTGTCGTTTAGTGAAACAATTGTTGAATAGATGAACTAATACCTCGAGAGCTATTTTGTCATCGCATTCTTCCTGTTCAGACTGGTGATACTCTATAGCTCTACAACTTATATCCAGGCAGCAATCGTGCAACGGGAACAGTGTACCCGAGCCGGGAATGTGTGAGAGAGCGTCGATCCAGATATCATTTTGTCCTTCGTATCCAGCAACGTGGTAAAATCCAGATCCAGTAAGACTAAAGCGAGCAGGCCCAGAGACAAAAACTTCGGGCTGATCCGAGGTGTTGATGGGTCTTCTGATAATTTAGTGAAGTGCACAACATGAGAGCTTGAGTACTCACGCGTGCCCGTCACTAGCTACCACATGGTGGTATACATCGTCAACACTGCCAATAAGACGAAGATGATATAGCCACTTGATTTTTATTAGTTGGTGACTAAAAAAAAGAAACATTTCTAGAGAAGGTAACACCGTACCTGGAACTGCGGGTCTTTGGGATCGATATTGTAAATCTCACCTTCAATATCAAACGGTCCACCACAAACCACACAAAACGGCCCCGTCTCAGTCGTGTATCGTGTATCACTCTTGGGTCCGTGTTCACGCTGTGAAGAAAAATAACCGCCCATTTTTGCGCTGCTGATGCTCGATTGGTAGTGCAATGTCTCGGGGGGTGGCGGTTTGGTTCATCCAAATACTGCTCGAGATGAATTCGGTCGTTTTGTCCCGCTCAATCTCTCGTAGCCTGGACGCTGCAGCTACAGATGTACCCAAGCCGCAAGGAGGCAAAATATTGACGATACGTGCGACGCAAGATAGGTCACTATGGGATCAATGGGTGTAATGCATTCTGCAAGTAACCGAATGAGGTATAGCAAAACCGCCCCCCACTCCCGATGCGTGCGAGGCGTGGCTTGTACTTTTGCGAACACGGCTGTAGATTCACGGTTGTTCTTATCCCTTTCGAACGGGAATCGCAATTATTTTGTTTTTTCCTTCGTGGTGCTGACACATGGAATTGGTTTTCTGTCTCATGATCGCGAAGGCTGGAGAGGGATGCCTGGGTGTGTAACTCCCCGGAACTCCGTGCGTCTGATGTCCGGTACCCTTACCTACTAACGTACCACTCTAAGTCCCAGCCGCAACGGAGTACCGAAGATCAGCTTCATCGCATACCGAGACATTAGGTAGTCGTAGAAGGTCTCCACGTCCATGTCTTTGATAACGGCTGCGCGTCATTATTAGACATAACTCTATGTTTCATGCAAGCCACATACGTGATGAATACATGTCGAAACTAGTGTTCGTTGACTTCTAGATCCTCAACGCGTAAAGGGGTGACATGTTGACCAGGTTGGTCTACACATCGAACATCTAAGCGATGTTGAGGCTTGTAATTCCATAAAATCAGGCATCATATGACCCCTACAATGTTTCTTCGTCTGACGTGTCTAGCTCGCCCATGTTCGGGTTTTTCCTTTGGTTGACTTTGACATCTCAAACGCTCTAGCCCCGTTCCTTGTTCTTCGCTCGGTCCAATGGGATAGGCGCAGTGAGCCCATGATGCATGTGATTCTCATTTGAGAATTGCCAATCATGTAGGGATGTCACAGTGTGTATCCAGGTTCCCGTAGGGATACCGACTTGGGTGTACAGAGTGTTGGTTCCTGGTACCTGGAGATGCTTTTTCTAGGTATTCGGTAAACATCCCATTGGCATAAACGTTGCTTCTTCAGTTGGCAGGGTGTGAAGCATGGCGACCACCCTCTCCTGTTGAGGTGTTGATGAGATTCCTCAGTTCGCAGTTACTCGCATTGCGATGGTCATTCACTAGGGTTGTTCCAGGACATGGATCGGGCTGGTCGAACTGTTTTGCATGAGCAAACACATTAGTTGTCACTTAGCTCTTAATTTAGAATAAGTTTTCGGTGTGTTTCTGTTCGTGCGGGGATGACATTCTTGCTTACTCTGTCGGCAATATTAAGCTGCATTAAGTGATACTAGTTGATGACGTTCGGCGGTGTTATCACCGGGGCGAGGCTAGTAGCGTGACATTTTCATGTGGGGCGCCACCATCACCACACCTCCTTCTCAATGTTCACAGCTTTCGCATGACATTTTGGAAACACGCTATATTGCAAACGTAATTTATTACTCGTAGACTACATCGCCCTTGTATTCCATTCATTGCAATCCCGATAGTACCCCTTCGCCCCAGTATTAACAGCGAGCATGAAACGAATGACTTCAGACTCGCTGGTAGAGTATTTGCAGAGAGACAAAATCACAAACACATTTGATCTGCACCAGTGAGAATGTTTCCACAATGACGGTCAAGTTGCTTGTTCCGGAGCCGCCGCAATCATCTGGGATATGGGAGCACTGGCAAGCTGCTCCGTCTCGAACATTACACATTACTCTTGTGGCCGCACCTGATTCTCCTTGGTTCTCAATTTTCCCTGGAATAAATCCGACTAGTAAGACTCTCCAGTTGTGCTTCTGTTTTTCGGCGCACCGACCCATGCCCCCACTGGGGTACCCTTTCGATTTTTCTTGCGCGGGAACATGTGTGTGTTGAACGTTTGCAGCACAGTAACCCCAGAATCAGTCACTGCATCCTGGTCGCTGCGCATCGGTCTGGATGGCGGTGGCAAACCAACCTCTTCTGAGTTATCCCTTGAGTGTCCGCCAAGCGCAGCACGAATGTTTTCTTTCGACACTATGCGGGTCAAGTCACGATCGGGCCCAAAACGCATCCTCTGTTGTGACTGGGGAATGCTAGTACAGCCTCGTGCATTGCCCCCTCGCATAGGGCTTTTCGTTGGGACAGGCGGCGCAAAGTTATCCTCGTTGTTTATGCAAGATAACACTGATGGATTGGTTGGGGAGGTACCTGGCCATGCGACTGGCTTTGGAAGACCTGTATCGGGTCCCCCAGGGGATTTGGGCAGTATGGAACGGCTATTGTTTTCTGAAGCGACCCGCAGATGGCCAGTATATGGAGTAGGCTTGATTGGTCCAGGCAGGCGGGTGGGTGGTTTTGCGGGCCGCTTCGGCTCTAGGGTCCGACCAGTATTTTTTCTGACTGCTTCTAAGTTCCCCAACAATGGATTCTTCTCCCACTCGCTACCATTATTGCTTGGAATATGTAACCCCACATATGACTTTTGGTCGCTAACTGGGGTGTATGCATCTTGCTGCTCACGTTGCGTGCTCCTACTTCGACACAAAGGGTGCAGAAGAGCAGTGATCTGATCCTCGGGTAATGACTCCGGTCCATTAGGTTTCGCATGTGCTTCTAGAGTCTGTGTCTCATTCGAAGGGTTGAATGAACTGGACATGCGAACTGAATCGTAGACGCTTTGCTCAGATGACTCGCGCTGTGTGTCCATACGAGGCCAAGGCGTAACGATAGTCGTGCTGGATGAGTATGTTGAAGCATAGCTCACATTTCGTTCGGTTGTAGAGTGGGTTTGCCCATTCAGTAAGTCAGGCGACGGTGGATCGTCAGGTATGAAGAGCTGACGTGTGACTCCATGCAACGGACTCTTCGGCTCCTCCCTTGGCATCTGCTTAGACACACTACGAGATAGCGAGCGTCGTAAGCTGTTCGAGTAGCGTTTGATTGGACTGGCACTACACTCTTTCTCTGGGTTCATATCGTGCTTGCTTGAGAGTATCTTCTTCACTGGAGTTCGACGGTCGTCGCGCTTGACAACATCAAGTTGAGGACGCTTGGCTTCATTAGTCCGCTCAACAGCCTTTCTCAAGTTTGCCCGCGCTCTTTGTTCCTCTAGCCACACCTCCATCTTTTGTTTGAACCTTGGACGTTCGACTAAGCCGCCGTACTGGGGATAGACTGAACGAAGTTCCCTTTCGGTCTCGTCGTAATGCTTTCGTGTCAGCACACCTGATTCGTTAGTGTCCTTTGGCATGAGTAAGATGTGATAAGAAGCTGAAGACATCAGATTGCCCGGGGGGATGTTGACGTTTTCCTTGGGAAAGGCAAGACCAGAGGGGCATCTCTCCTCGACGAAGAGCGCGAGGCGCCCATAGTGTCGGCGGCCCTTGATACCGTATGAGGCACGGACTGCATCTACAATGGGTACAAATACTGCTTGCCAAGCAGTGCAAATGTTTCGCAGTTGAAAGTAATCGAATCCCCACGGGTTGTGCACTTTGCCAACTTTGAACGTCTGCAGCAGCCACGCGAAGAGGTGCTTCTCATACTGCTCAACGCGCCAGTCTCGCTTATTGATGGCACAGGATATGCTGCTGGTATCCACACTGGGGTCGTGGCGGTACGTATTTTGGTCGAATTGTGTATAAAACCACAGCAAGTCCGTGCGCGAAATACCTCCTCCATCGCCATCGCTGGTAGCAACTGCAGTCGCGGCCGTAATTGCACCAGGCTTCACAAGAAATATCGAATCACGAAACACAGCCCATGGCTTGAGAAACGCATCGGTAGCGAGAAAGCGCTCTTCGAGGCCCTCAAGATCCGACAATCGCAGTAGCGAGAGCGCTCCTTTGAGCTCGGCGGGTACTTTATCCTTGTCGCCACGCGTCAACAGACTACGCATCGTCTTTGTGCCCAGATCGGCGGGTGAGGGTGCCATGTTCTCGTTTCGGATCGAATGTGCAGTTGGGGGTCGAATGCTTTGGTCGAGTTGTTTTCGTAATGACTGAAGCGCCGTATGTTTGGGTTGTAGCGAAAACAAATATGAAAAAGAGGCATCGAACAGTGTGCTAGCACACGACGGGCGATCAAATTTTTGCAGTGAGCGCGAGTGTTGACAATCACTGGCCACAAAGATTCCGCTTTCACTTTGCATATCGTCACACTTTGCTTGGCGCCGGACTGCATCTGCTATATTCAGGTACCCGACCATCTTCTCACGACCGTATCGTGCGATTAAACAACAGTTGTACAACTAAGTCAATCTCCGTCGAAGATTCATCGAGCCCACGTGTCGCTACTGGCCAACTGACATGATCAGACATGATCCATATCAACAACCGTCTTCACCCCTCACATACGTATCTAGCCCCACACTTCAGGCAGCAACACAAGCAAACAAAACAACGGCGAAAGCTCATCAAATCCTGTTCTCATGAAAGTAGCGCCATGTTCGTATAATGGCAGTTCACACTGTAAAGCGTACATGTGGCTATCATCAGTATAGAAGAGGGAGAATAAGCTTAAGCGGCCTTTCAGGGGCACTAAAAGTTATGTGTAAGGATCTATTATACATCAAAAAGAAATCACTGAGAAGGACATGCATAAAGCGTTGCTTTGTGTATCGTGCTCCATCTTCGACGTTCACCACAAAAGTCTGGAAATCTACACTGCCTGACTAGAAAAAAGGAGGGCATTAAACGATAAAAACTCTTCGAACAAGGGTAACCCATAGTAGAAAGCTGAGGGATTGCGATGAAGTTGAGAAGACTCTGAAAACAAAGTAAGATGGTCAGCGCGACTGAGCTTTTCCCCTGGAAGCGATTTCTGGAGAGCGCTGCCGGTTAATTCACTGGAGTCTTGGTCGGTACTAGTCTCCATGGCTTTTCCTTTGGCCTCTATAGCTGCTTGAAACCCAGATAGACTGTCCACTCGTTATGTGAAGTCTACGCAACAATGGCACGTAAAAGCATACAGTGCCCCACCCGGTCGAAGGGGCGCTTTCGGCGCTTACGTTCTGCAGTGAACGATATAGCATTGCTTCCGTGCCTGTGGTTCACTAGTGTAATGATCGGCGGCTGTTTGAGGCTAGGATCTTCCAGAATGCGTTTGATTACGCAAGCTGCCTCAATTGCTCTAGTATCATCCGTGGACAGAAGCAGCATTAAGGCCACTGTAGGCTGATTTCAAGCTAATGAGCTTTTCTTGAGCATGAATACTGACATCTATATTGTTGTATCGGGCGACTCTCCCAACTACCAATATGGACAAGCTTGAGTGTCGGAAAGGCTTGCCCACAGGGGACTGTCGAAAGTCCTGGTGACTGCTTACATGAGGAATCCAATACGTCAAAGTCGAGAGCAGAGCTAGGCGGAACGTTTTGGTACAACTGTGCATCCACTTTGAGTACCGTCGAGTGTTGAGGTCGCTGGTATGCCAGGCTTGGTGTTTGCGGGATTCCTGTGATTGAAGCTTGTCTTCGGCATTCGTCTTCGGCCACCCATCGGTCAAATTTCAGTTTCTTGAACTACCGCAGACAACCGCATGCACAATGATTGAAGTATTTCGATCAAAGCGAGCAAATCTTGCTGAAAGTCTTGGTACCCCAGATTGGATACGAACCCATCAGGTATCCTCACTATCTTGACGCTTCTTTCCAGTGACTATGCAACGTCCAGTGATTTATGAGTTTGTGCATCTTGGAAGCATCGAAATCGATCAATATCTACCGTTCATGCTCATAGGGGGTGGAAGAGGCGACATTATCGGAGGGTCGTTTGCAGGTGGTCCATATGGTGACGAGCCGCGCATGGGTCTAGAATGGTACTCGTCCTGCTCTTCCTCGGGCGAAGAGAGTTCCAGTAACCTTTGTGGAGACCCAACACTGAGCCCAAGTGCAGTGAGCTTCTCTTGTAGTATACTTATGACGGCGGGATTGCCGCCTCGGAAGCCAGCGAGCACTTGAGAAAGCGAATGCATGAGATCTCTAGGACCAACATCGAAGTACGACTCATGGTTTAGCGACGGCATGATCATCATAACATCAGCAAGTGAGTTTGCTACGTCGAAAAGCTTGGACTCCTGTTGTAACAGTTAGTAGAGTAAGTAGCTTGACCGTAGTTAGTTCATACCATGCCGGGCCCATGCGCCTCTACACTTTCGCGCGAAAGACTGCTTAAATTGTTGAGCACGTTTTGTGCCACCCTGGCAGGGAAACGAAACGAAAACTCTTCGTCCTGACTTGGCTGACTGCTTAGGTTGGTAACATTGAGCGCATGCTGCCACAGGAAGATGCGCATCCACTGTTGTGTCATTGTGATATCAGCACGCTGGAGTTCATTTTCGAGACTGCGGGGATCTTCATCGCTGCTCAGTTGCTGCTGAGCTACAGCGAGTGCTCGACGAGCACTAGTAGCATCCGCAGTTATTGTGACATCAAGAATGTTGAAAAGTCGACAGAGCTGGACGAATGCAGGCGTGACAGATCCATCGCGCAAGTCTTGAAGACTCGGAAGATCTGGCGAACGTTTGAGTGTCGTCGGGACATCGTGCTGCAAGGAATGAGCACGCTCGGTGATGAAGAGGAGCCAGTAGACGCGTAAAGCACACTGTGTTTGCTCTGGATTCATGACCTGGTAGTGAGTTGGGTTGTGTAGGCCAAGGACATGAGCTTTGAAAATAGCCTCTCCAAGCAGGACGGTTGAAGCATTCATTCGGCCAACGTTGGCAGAGTAGACATGCAAGAAGAAACTGCTCAGAAGAGACGACATGGTGATGTTTTCCAGATGATCGGATTCATCTCTGGCTCTTCTTGCCTCAGACTCGAAGACGCTGCTTGAGACGCGATAAGGGCCTTCGACCGGACTTCCCGGCTCAACGTCAATGGAGAACTGGCTTACAATAGCGGCGCATATGGCAGTGGCCAGTGCGTAGGCCTCTACATCGTTGGGGTGGGTAAGGAGTCGTGCAGTCAGTGTTTCAGCATCAACAACTGGCCATATGCCATAGCCACGTGCCTGGTAGATTTCGAGATACTGCGAGAGACAGGCCACGGGTATTCTCTGGAGTTCCTGGGGAGTGCTGGAGAGTGTGGGACTCATAACGTCAGGCCATCCATTGGAATACGTGCCGGGCTCGCCGAGGGGAGGCATTGGAGAGATGTACGGCAGCTCGTCAACGGGACTGCCGGTATCGAGGCTGGTCTCACTGGCGCTCCTGGATCTGTCATAGCCAGTCTTACTGCGTTCTTGCAGCCTCCTGATGGCGGCTTCAGTGGTCCGCCGCGGTCCCTTGGGGCCGCTCTTTCCATGCGTCTTGAGATAGGTGCAGTCCCACTTGGCGGCCTCGCACCTTGCACAGGGCTGGTTGCCATCGCAGCGCACTTTTCCTGGACAAAGGAGGGAGAGGGTCAATTGTGAGCATGTGTATAGAGCCGAGAGAGAGACTTACTGACTGAGCAAGGGTCACACGCCCGTCGCGTGCCTTTTCGTGGGGCCATGGCCATTGTGGTAGCCAAGGTTCTAGCCTGATCTGATGGGCAATCGTCAAGAGTCGAATGCAGCGATCAAGTCGGCATAGCGGAGGTAGCGTAGGGCTATCCAGGCGGCGGATGGGAATGGAGCAGCGTGTGGAGACGAACTGGGAGGTTTGTCGGAAGCTGATAAAGAATTGCGGGAGAGCAACAATAGCATGGCCGTGCTATGAGGTAGGTCGCGGTCAGGGCATGCGGCTGATGCTGAGAACAAAAGGTGGAGAAGGCCCTGCGCGCTGGCGGCCCCCCTGTACAATGGGGCGCCGGCATCTTCCAATCAAGCGTGTGGGCAGCCGTCGGCGCCAACCGGCTCCCGATGCAACCTGGACTGGCCGAAAAACTTTCCTTCTAGAAGCTTTTTGGAACAAATTTGCTCCCTGCACGCTGCAGACGGCCTGGCTGCTGATACCACGCCACGACTCACTGCCCCCAGGGCGACTGGCAGGCCCATCCCGCCCTCGTCGACTCAAAGCATGCTTGGCCGCATCTAAGCCTGGCGGTGCGCGGCTACATTCGGGCGTCGTCGCTGGCTGCTACATGTATCTGTGTTAGCACTGCGCGTAGAGAAGGCTGCATTGCGGCGATACACACAGCAAAACGTGTTTCAGTGACGTACTCACTACCAGGCCCTGCACCGCTTACTCCGACCATGGGCTTGTCGAGCAGTTGCAACAGCGGACGTAGCCGAGAACGTGCCGGTCATCTTTCCTTACTCTTCTAGTATGCGCCAATTTCTTAGGACAAAATGAGAAGAAGTGTGCCGGTGCATAAATGCCGCTCCTCCATCCATGCCTGCTCGCGTGTCACATGACTTTGGCCCAGATAACAGCGATAACACACATATCCCTGCCTGCAGTGTACTGGACCCCCCAGTGTGCCGCAGGCTGTGCTACTACTGCTACTACACACTACTACAAAAGACAGGCGCCGTCCCCGTGCCTGCGTGCCTTTGCAACCCCCCATCGCCTTGCATGCGCCACATTGCCACGCTGATATCCCATGCCTCGTGCATCCAGCTCTGCCTCCACACCAGAGACTCGCATCGCCTCAATTTGCCATGGTCAGCAAGAGAATTTTTCATGACATTGCTTTTGACCAGGGCTTGCGACTGGCCTGCAGGCCTACAACGGCTCCGAGGAGTTTATAGCTGTCTCGTTAAAGCTATTACTCATCGTATTCCATGGTGGGCACGGCCACCCCAAACGTGGCGTCTACTCAACGACATCTCAACGGCTACAAATGCTTGGAGTCGACGACATCACCCAACTCGAATAGGGGCTGCCATTTCAGCTTCCTTCGCTATATGAGCCTCTGGCATGTGCATCAATGACACAATCATACTGACGTCTCAGTACTATGGCAGAATCACTAGTGGATGCGTGCCGCCTTATCATGCGTTCTCGAGAAACAAGAATCTGGGGAAGTCACATTAACCGACGCACTAAGCGACCCGATATAATATACCGATACGGGCAGTATGTCGATGATCGTACGCCTAGCAAACGTATTGGCTGAGGGGTTGGACTCGATATACAGCACGCCCAGCTAACTGCAGCTAAATGCGACGGTCTATTGCCGAGAACCAACATGAACCGGATATGTTCCACACTGTCTTTGGACGCCCAATCAGTGCAGCTGTTCCTGCCTCATCTTGCATAGTAACACCAGCACAACAAGTGTGCTGCGACCATGTCAGCGGCGTCTCAGACAAGGATACACAGTACTTAAACAGCTTCACTTTTGCATCTGCACAAAATCAAAGTCAGTGCACCACAGGGATACACTCTCCACTTTACTCCCTGAATTTCAACCCCAATTTCCACAGGCCTAATTCATCTTAAACATGAAGTCCCTCCTCATCGCAGCCCTCGCATCGGTTGCTCTGGGGGCTCCCCCAGATCCCTACCCAGCGCCCTGCGGACGATCCGACCCCTCTGGAATCTGCACCACCAAGCCAACCTGTTACGAAAAAGGCGGCTTTTGGGTGCAGCGGGATTGCACCTTTTACAACGTGCTCGACATCGGATGCTGTTACTCTATTCCCGACAAGAAGAACTGAGTGATGCTCCAAAACGGATCTGGCGGGACACATGTCGGAGCAGATAGAAGGTCCATCAGGAAGAAGAGCAAGCGAAGAGCCTATGTGTATCCAAATTGTTGGGCAATAACATTAGTCTCTAAGATATTATTTTTGGCAGTACTATTTGTGTAATCGTGCTGCCCAATTGCCAACCACATTAAGCCAAAAGGCCGAATGACAGGAACCGTGCACTTTGAAACTTTGCGGCCTGAGCTTGTGATAGATAATGAAAGTTTTCATCAGATGCGTAATCTTGGGTCTGCACCGATACGGCTATTCACCCTTACTGTTGCCTTGAAGGGTGAGTGGGATTTTCTTGTTTTGTTACGGGTGAACGGCGGGGAGTGACCGAGGTGCGATTATGTCATCAGGACTGATTTGACGCTCGGAAGTCGTCGGAACGAAGTTCCGTTTCATTCCGGCACACTTTCCGGTCTGATGATTTTCGAATTTTGTCCCCACAACAACACTGTTGTAATACCGTTTTTGACACTACTGACGCCTCACTACGCGCCAACGGACCTGTCAAACCATCACGTCTATACTTCAGCAGAGGACTGCCTCTATCACGTCTCTTTTCTGAAATACCCGCCAAACCGGCAAAACGTGACGACAGTAACATGGACCCCGGCCTGGAGTCGACCAGCTTTTAAGCGCTTATCGAGGCGCGGGAAGCTGCATTTACGTTTCGACATCAAAGTGAAGTACGTCAGTCCGGGATCATTCTACCAAATGATCGAATCCCCAGCCTATATCCAGTAGTGGGGTTTGTCATCATGAACTGCATGGTCCGTGATGGCCTTGCACCACCCTTTTCTACTGCATATACCCCTGCTTATCACTTTCCAGGAGCTTCAAGATCATTATGGCCCTTCGATCAATAGACAGTCAGATGCTCGGAAATGGGCCTACGCTGTCTTGCGAATCCCAACATGGAGAGTGCGGTGAGACAACGCCCTCAAGACTACTGAAGCGTCAGAGATCGTCAGACAAGATGCAGGAGAAGCGAAAGAAGAGCCGGCAGGACAGCGCCGCGGAACCAGCACCATCTTGTCCTCTATTAGTGGCTCTGCGAGAGTATGGTCTTCTTGAGAACGTCCTTTCTTGTCTTTGCCCCGACGACCTACTAGCGCTATTGTTGTGCTCAAAGTCCATATACCAAACACTTGTCCCACAGCCTGGTAGCCTAGAAAACTTGCTCGGCAAGTTGAGATGCTCCGGGAAAGGTGTCCGGATACGAAGAGAACGACATGTCAAGTCGTCCTTCTTCTATGCATACGAATGCAGTGAATACGTCGAATGTGGGGCAATAGACGGTGTCGCCGAGTCTCGTCCCTGCACAAACTGCAAAGTTACGACTTGCAACGAATGCCGCATCCATTGTGTATACCAGAGTATCTTCGAGAAGCCATGCGAAGATGACGAGCTGCCCAACTACAGCGGTTTCATCCTTCTCTCACCGTCCGAGATACCCATATTAAGCCCCCACCACCTGAAAGATAACCTCACTACACCACAATGGCAAGCCCCATCACCTGCCACATCTGCACCCTATCACGATCAGGGATTTATTGACGTACCCCTTGAGGAAGAAAGCTTTGGTCCGCCCGAGTGTGTCGACGATTTCCTAGACTTGAATCTTGGCACGTGCACATTTGCCGGATCAGTGGCTTCAAACGTAGCCCATCCATCGCCTGTCCTCCGATCATTATACCAAACTACAGAAGGAAGGAAACGCCGATTTTGCAATAATCACCTTCCCTCAGGAATACCAAAGCAACGAAAGGATCTTTCAGTTCACCAGTGCCAGTGCAGCCTTCGCAGTCGTTTTCTCGACCGTTGGCTCTGTTTACGATGTTACGAAAACGAAGACACGACTCTCCGTAAAACATATGTTGACCATGTGGCACAGTGCTGTTGCGGGTCAACGCATGTCAGAGAGATATGCATGTGGTGTTTCGGTGAGATCTCGCAGCCTCACACTGAAGAGGCACAACCCGACTCAGAAAACAGCCTTGATGAGCGCTCTGCTTGAGTCTTGTGAACCCAAGGCCGAGTGAGATTCAGGGCAACAAAACAAAGTTCTCTCCCCCTAATCATGGCAACATATCTCTTCTGTAATGTTTCGAAAAGTACTTTGAGCGCTTCTCGTGCATGTACTTTGATTCTGTACCATAGCTCACCCCAACTTTCCTCTCATCCCTCCTCATATACCCCCTTGTACAATAAGTTACGAAGTATCAGAACGAGTCTGCTACTATTACGACCACCTTTAATGAAACCAATGTATATTGATTTTGAGAAGGAAAACATGTTCTGCATTGAACCAGTGAAAGAAAAAAAAAGTTGCACATGCCAGGTCCCGCGTCCAATCACTCCACGCAATTATGTCCCCACCGTTCTTCTCAAGCCATCCCAAAAGAAAAACCACTTCTTACCTCTTAACAAAAGCCCCACTCCCAAACTCTTCCCACCTACCTACCGCAAACACTCCACTCCCCTCCCCCTCTCCTTCCCCATAACCCTCCTCACTTCCTCCACCTGCATTCTCGCAACCCCCCTCCCCTCCCCTACCACCCCCCTCAACCTCTCCACCTCGGCCGCAATCCTCGCCTCAGCCCTCCTCCTCTCCTCCCGATACCCAACCAGCCGCATCCTCACTCGCGCCACGAACCGCTCTAGATACCGTACCCCCGGCTCGTCGCGCTCGCGCCTCACGCTTATTTCCAGCGCGACGAGCGTGTTCATGGCTTCGGTTTCGCTGCGGTGGCGGACGAGATAGTGCGATAGGATGTGCTTTTGATGCGGGGTGAGGAGTGAGGTGCTGGAGAAGGGGGGGTCGGTGGGGGAGGTGGAGGAGGTTGAAGTTGAGGCGGAGGGCGTGGGGGAGGAGGGGTTGGAGGGGCGGATTTGGGTGGGTTGGTTGGGCATTTTTTTCTTTTGGATGTTGATTGAGTTGGAGTTGGTGGTGTTGAAGTGGGGTGTGGTTGTAGGAGAAGTAGTTTGGAGAAGTTGTTTTTGCTGACGCTGTTGATGTTTTTTTTGGAAGGAGATTGTATTTTTGGGATGGGGGGTTGAGTGAGTGGTGAGGTGTGAGGTGTGAAGAGGAAACGCTCGGGGCTGGTGATTTGGTTGGTGAAAAAGGTGAAGTGAATGAGAAAAGTCTAGTGTTCAGTGAATTTGAATTCTTTTTCAAGACAAATTTACTGAATCCTTTGAGAAATGTTCATAGTAACAAATACTTGTAATTGGGTACGTTAAGGATTACGTCCTGTGTTTCATCAGTGTAGACACTCAGGTTAGTACATTGTCGATGTTGTTCTATAGTGCCAATCCACATCACTTTGCACACAATAAATATAGAACAAGCTATATGTGCAAGGGTGAGTGGGGCTAAGCATGTTGTGTCTTGGCCTATGGCGATACGCAAGGAACAAAGCTCTTTCTGTATCAACTGATGAAAGTGATGTCACGTTAAGGACAATACAAGAGGACACGAAAGAACTTGGAGTCTTTTGCCAAAGCCTAGAGCAGCGAGACAGCAACACTGTAATATCCGTTGGCTTAGTCCAAAATTGAGAGCTTCCATCCCAATCATCTTAGCTTGACCTTTTGGAACGAGCTAGACAAGGACAAAAGATATGTTGGCCTGCTACTAGGTATGAACAATATCTCTGTTTCGTATGTAAATATCTACTGGCTAGCTCTCAGTCACTTCACATGCCAAGATTGACAAGGTAAACATAACTAGTTTAGTATGGTGAGAGCTTCAGCTCATTCATGCTTAGCTACAAAAACAATTAGGTATCTACAATTGTATGAAAACCATACACAGTATCATGTACATATACACGACCTGCGTATTCATCGTCCCAAGCTCATTACTACAACACGCAGCCTAAGTCCTGACGTGCGCCTCAACATTGTGTCCCGCAATGCCCTCTTCAGTCTCGCCAACACGCTTGCGTACTGGGCCAACATAAGTCGAGTCGGGAAGCATGTTGAGGGCATCTTCCTGCTTGTCGGTCTTGCGCTGGTGGAACCAGAAGAGAATACCACCGCAAAACGCCAAGATAGCAACGGTAGTGTAGTTCCACACGAGCAGAGGATCTTCAGACAGTGACACAAAAGCCTGGCCAATGGCGTTGGAGAAGGCGCTCATGAAATGGAAGTATGAGGTAACAAGGGAGCGCATGTTCTTCGGGGCTTTGGTGAAAGCGAACTCGAGACCGGTGATGGAAGTGAAGATCTCGGAGAAACCGACGAGCACGTAGGGAACAGACTGCACCCAGACGTTGATAGGGGCTGGGTCGTCGCAGCTGTTCATGAACTTGCCGCAAGGACCAGTCTTGTAGATGTAGTGCTGGATAACAGCTGCGGACACCATGGCGAAGGAAGCGAGGATGAAACCAAAAGCCATGCGCTTAATGGGTGTAAAGCGGATATTAGCCTTGCGGAGGGCTGGGTACAGGAAATTGTCAACAATTGGGATGAAGATGACGAGAGAGATGGGGTTCAGGTTGGTGATGACATCGTTGGGGACACCGTTACGTGTCATGGTAGCAGCTTGCGAGGTGAGGTTGTTGTTCATCTGGTTGTATGAGAGCCCTTTTCACATTATTAGTTTCTGAGTGTGGCGAAACGGGCTGGGCCCAAAGAAAGACTTACAGTAAAGCGGGATCCAGGTGAAGCAAGAGCAAGCCCTCAGTCCACGCGCGACTTGGTCGACCCAAGCGTCATCAAACTGCATCCAGCTTGGCTTGTTGCTGCCAAGGTGGCTGGGCTTAACATCCTCCCAGAAGTTGTCGGCTTTGAAGTTTTTGCGCGTAGTAACGGGGTTGATCGACCACTTGCCCTTGAGTGCGAGACGCAAAAGCTTGATGGCGCGGATGAGGACAGATCCGGTGGGCGGGGTACGGTGGTACTTGTTGCGGCATGCCCAGAGCACGATAGGGCACAAGCAGAACATGATTGTGGGGAGCAACCAAGCGCACCAGAAACCAACGTACTTTTCCACGTAGACCATGGAAATTTGACCGGTGAGAGCACCGGTGTTGATGAACTGAGCAACTGTTAGGGCGTGGTCTTTTCTCAGCTAGGATGACTAGCAACTTACCATATAAAAGTACAAAAAGATACGGGAGACGGTGATGTTGGGGTCCGAAATGACACGCGCACCCGTCTTAGGGTCAATGATAACACGAGGCTTGCTTTGGCGGTATTGCTCAGCGATCAAAGGCGAGATGTTGGCCTTGAAAGCTCCAGTACCAAAACCAAGAGTAATGACACCAAGAATGAATGGACCAATGGCATTGCCGCTGGTCAAGACGGAGGGAATGGCGGAGATGATGAGCAGGATGTGACCGAGAATTGAGAAGGCGATGGCGACGAAGATGGTGTTGAAACGACCAAGGTACTCATCAGCGATGATGGCACCGATGATGGGCGTGGTATAGGCCCAGAAAGAGTTGAATTGACCGATACCAAAGGAGGCTCGTTGGCCCATGTCAAGTGCTCCAGGCTGACCCTCTGATCTAGGGTCACGACCGGTTGTCTGCACAACACCGTCGATCACGGGAAGAGGCTGCTGGATGAAGTTTGTGTCTTTTGAGAGTCAGTAAAAAGATTGAGAAATGCGATTCAATCTCAACTTACACAGCACCTGACAACCATAGTAGCCGAAACGCTCACAGAGCTCGACAAAAGCAATGGTGAAGGCGGTCCATGGAATTTTTCCAGAAACACGAGGAAGAGTCTTCAGTTCCTCCTCGGTGGGCTCCTCGCCCTCCAGGTCAGCCTCAAAGACTTCTCCTGGGTACTCGTGGTCGTTGGACGAAGGCGAGCGTGTCTCAGAGAGGGCACGCTTCTCATCGAGCTCATAGAGGGGCTTGGCAGCCTCAGGCTTGTGAGACATGGCCATGTCAACATCGTTGGAGCCAGCGTTTGCCGCCATGATTAGCAGGTGTTGTCGCGAATTCCAACAAGGGGATGAGAGGAGCGAGCTGATGCTACTCTTCCTGCGAAGGCACTGGGAACTCGGTTTCAATTATAGTCGAGAATTCCCGTCTCGTGTGTAGTAAACGAGCGGCAAATAGTAGCCCTGGTACCCAGCGCGGTCTTGGTATTCCTTGTGGGTTCCTCTATCAAGCAGGTGTCCAGGTGCCCGGTCTAGTGGAACCTGCTCTATGGTCAAGACCCAACACCAAAGGCTCGTCTGGGCTGGCCGCTTTCAGCACCAGCTTGTGACTTGAGCGAATTGGGGGTGACGCCGAAATCAACCACGCAGTTAAGCTTTTCACCGCTTTCATAGGTGTTGATTGGAGCCAAGATTCAATGGGTACTGGGTGTAACGGCCTAGGCGACGACTTGGATACAGTGCTTAGGAACTTGGCGACGCTGCCGATCCCACATACAACGCCTGCAAGATAGATGGTTTGGCCATTCACGCTCGTGTGTCCTGAGACCCCCCCTCCCCTAACTCTTCCCTTATCGTGGCAACACGCGCTGTGCCACAGCTCCCGTGTGACGCTGATAACCAAAGCGTACCAGTGCGGGCATCATCGCGAAGCTTTCAGCTTCGGCCCGTGAGGAAAAACCAAGACCAGCAAAAAAAAACCTGAATGTCGAAGCAAGTGCCAATGCTGCTACTATGTAGTCGTCCTACATAGTAGTATGTAGCGCAATTTACCGTGTCCTATTGACGCAAATTTTGCCGCCGCGCTGCCATGGCGCCCAGCCTTCCGCGCCGCTGGGCGCTCGTCTTGCCCCTCTCCACCCACTGTGGCCGCCTCGGTTTGTGGCACTTCACGAGCCAGCCATGCCGCCATCCCAATGTAACTCGGCCATACCCGAACAGGCAGCTCGATGGCCTGATGCCATGTATCCATATTCCCACTGAGAGAGTTCGTCCAATGGCTGCGCAGCTAAGTTTCGAGAAGGAGGGGTTGTGCAGCACGGCGCGGCGCCGACCCTTCTCAAGCTTATCTCCGCTTAACAGAACAGGTCAAGATGGCCGAGCAGGCTGACGGCGAGGCTTCGTTTGTCGGCGGAAGCTTTACCTGGCGCACCATCATGGGAGATATTCTTTGACTACAGAATCACCACTGGCTTGACCCGCTGCTTTCCCGTGGCCTTGGCACAAGAGTTGGTTAATTGTTGTCTGGTCGGACGATCCTCTCAATAGCATCTGCCAGTTCCTAAACGAGGACATCACGCGCTCACTTGCCCTAATGAGGGCGTTGTCCTCACCTCACAATATCACGATGAGCAGGATTTGGCTTGGCTGAAGGATGAAGGCGGGCAACCCCCCCAGCCACATCATCATTGCCCACCCAACAAACCCTTATCGCCCAGGCCAGTAAAACTTAAGCCGTTTGAGCGCAAACGGCATTCCCGTCGTTACCGTTTACACCTCGCTGTGGCTGCAAGAGAATCATCATGGAAAGCTTGGCATGCTACAACTCCCCACCACACCAGGAACATCACGAGTCATGCCCTCGTTATCATGAGCTGGCCTTACATCTCTGGAACAAATACAACCCAGATAGCAACCCTCGATCCTGATGCCTATGTTGCTTGTCAGCCAACACCAACATGACCATCTTACGATCCTCATCGCCTCCAGCCACCATCTCACGAACCCATCCCCCCCCATCGATGCCAGCACCTCCATTCGAAACCCACTCACCCATATATCTACTTACATAACACAACTCTCTTTCTCCCCCGACCCCTCCCCCAATAACCAATCCCGGCATCCAATTCATCCCAATCCCCATCTAACCCCCGTTCCGCCCCGCCAAGCTCTCCCCCTCCGCCCAGAAATGGGAAAAAAAGGAGAGCGGTTAACTAAGGGTAAGCGGGATGCACCGACGGCGGGTGCCCGAGGACAAGCACGGATATACATGGGTTTTTTTTGCTTTCGGGAATAC